CACACACACAGAAACACAGTGTGTATGTATGTCGGTTTGTGTGTGTGCGTGTCTGTGCACTCGTTTGCTTTCCCCCGGACGTGTTCGTGTGTGCGAGTGTGTATGCTTGCGTGACTGACTGTGCCCGTGGGTGGGTGTCTGTCTGCGCGACCTTGTTTGTATGTGTGCGTGCATGACTTTGGGAGCGCGGGAGCGAGAGCGCTCGTGCGGAAGTGTGGCAATCTGGCTGCTTGTTTGTGTGTACGCGGTCCATGGGAGAAAGTGCACGGAAGCTGGAAGGCAACACTTCGGATAAGCACTTTTGCCATCGACGTTACTTTCTTTTAACATTGCGGTAAATCCATAAATGTGCCAGCCAGTCCGCATACAGAGAATGCCTCGACAGCACGTTTTTTGGGCAGAAAATACCAGACAGTGAGTGCAGGTACTAGATGGGGCAACGGTTGGGAGCACTTTCCGGATCACGTAAAGCGGTGTCGACGATCTCTCCCTGAGCACCATTTCGTGCTGCGAAGGCAGCTTCTCTGGTTCTGTGGCCTGCTGCTCACGAATACTCATCCCGCACAAAATCTATTCAGGGAACAGCTCGAGTAATTATAACGCGTTAGCGAACATGAAATTAATCAATCAAAATAGAAACAGCAAATCATTTCTTCCCCCCACGGGCATACGTTTTATGAACGCAGGTTGGGGAAGGAAGGACGTCAGACGACAGAGAGCAACGGCGCCAAGGGAAAGGACAAAGCACAAGCCCGCGAATGAAATCGGAAGTAAAAACAAGCAATGGCACGCCGCCAAACGAATGCGAAAACGGGCGAGAGGTTGAGCAGAGAGAAGGAGGAGAGAGAGGGGAAGTTCCAGGCCGTGGAGAGGAGATACAGAAGACGAGAAACGCAACGCAAGAATAGAAGAGGAGCCGAGGAGGAAAGCTGGACCGCCGCCCTCCAAGGGCGCATGGTGAAATCAAATTTATTCTACGAAGAGAAGAGGAAATAGAAGGAGAAGGGAGAGAGAAGAGGGACAATGATAACGCCCTGAATTCAAGACTAAATTCAAAATTCCCCTTCAGAAGGGACAAGATGGTCGCATGCTTACCTGCACGCACCGCAGCTCCCCCGCTCCTCGTCGTTCTTCTTCTTCTTCACTCCCTCCAGTGTGTTGGGTACACCTAGCGAGGCCGATAACTGAGTTTACCTGCTTCACGTCAAATACTGTATTTCCCTACTTGTACAACACGCTCGGTATGCACTCGTGCTATCCACATAACAAGTTCTGTCCTACCGGCTACAGCTACTGCTGTATCGTGCACACACATACTCACCCTCCCTCCCTTCCTCTTGCCAACATCATACCACCTCCATTCGCCTTCATTCCGTCACAACCTCTTACGCGCTGTCCCTTCTTTTCGTCGCATATTCTTTTGTGCTGTTATTTCTTTTCACGCAGTCCCTCCTTTGCCAATCTCCCTCGTTTTGTCCGCTCTCCCTATCTACAGTGGATGGCTGGCCGGAGCGAGAAAAGCATCTGTACACAGACATAGACATGACAACTACCAAAAGCGCCCAGGGAGAGACCGACGCCTGCCTCCTTCTGGGTCCCCTTGATCCCTCGATTGTCGCTGATCCTCGTCTTCTCAACTCCGTCAATACAACATTATACAACATTAGGAATGAAATTAGGTACAACATCCAGCGGCCTAGCTCAGTTGGTAAGGCTCGCAAGTGGCATTCAGGAGGTCGTGGTTTCAATCCCCATTGGCCTCATGTACTCCTGGGCATACTTGGCACCCGCTCCCCAAGAGATAGACCACTGGATCCCCCGATCGGCATAGCAGAGTCTGCTGATGTTCTTAGGGGAGGGGGTTTGAGGGGAGGCACAAGGGGCTGGTTCCCAGGGCTTTATCCCCTGATGCTACCGGCTGTCCCCTGGCCGGTATCGCCCACCTGCAGGTCGGGATCAGCCCCCGCATGTTCTCTCGTGGACACGGTTCTGGCGGCTACGGGGTTCCCCGTATGCCTACAAGTAGTAGTAGTGGTAGGTAGGTAGTGTGAGGTGAATTTGAGAGAAGAAGATAGTT